AAAATTGGGGGGCTGGGGATTTAGCTCAGTGGTTCCAGCGCCTGCCTTGCAAGTGCAAGGTCACAAATTCGATCCCCAGGACCAAAAAAAAAAAAGAAATCCCAAAGAGAACTGGTTGTGTTGGGGTATGCCAGTAATCTCAGCACTGAGGAGGCTGAGACAGGAGAATCAATGTGAGTTCCAGGCCAGCTTAGGTGACATAGTGAGTTCAAGGCCAGCCTGAACTACAAAGTGAGACCGTCTCAAAACAAAACAAAACAAAAAAATGGAGAGACAGACAGAGGGAGACAAAGTTATTCTCTGTGACTTGACTGTGGAGGACACTTCTTAATATTTGACTTTTAGACTTGGATCGGAAGGACTGCTGGCTCCCTGAGGACTCAGCCTCTTACCATGGCAGCTTTTAGCTGTGGCTGAGCTTTAAAAAGTTCCAGGCCAGCCACAATGGCATCTACTTCTAATCTTAGCTAGCTACTTGGGAGGCTGAGGCAGAAGGATCACAAGTTCCAGCCCAGCCTAGGCATTTAGTGACTCAATAAGACTGTCTCAAAATCAAAATCAAAAATAAGGCCTAGGGAGGTGGTGCAGTGCTAAGGTCCAGGTGTCAATGCTAGTCCCACAAAAAAGGAGGGCTGGGATGCAGCTTAGTGGAACAGCACAGGCCCTGGGTTCAAGGCCTGCAACCTACATGAGGTATAGCCTGGGTGTGGGGACCTGGGCCTCACACATGGCAAGCAAGCACTCTGCCACCCAGTCACACCTCAGTCCTTTCTTTATTTTGGGACAGGGTCTCACTGAATCACCAGGCTAGCTGATGACTTGCAGTCCTCCTTCCTCAGCCTCTGAGTGCTACCATGCCCAGGTAGTGCATGGAACTTTCCAGGTGATGAGGACAGTCACTGAGTGGAGAATCCTGGGCCGCACCCAGGCTAATTACACCAGTTGCTGCAGGGGGACCCGGGGAGGCGTCATTTCCGAAGCTACCTGTGGGACCCCAAAGTATACACAGGCCTGAGCATTGCTGCACTGGGCTACGAGCTGGGTCCCTAGTCCAGAGTGCCTGCACCCCTGTCCCTGAGTTACCCTGATCCCAGCCCTCTTATTTATTTATTTACTTACTTACTTACTTAGAGACAGGGTCTTGCTACTGTATGTGGCCCAGGGTGGGCTCAAACTTGGCTGTGATCCTCCTCCCTCAGCCACCGATAGTGCTGAGATTACTGGCATGTGCCACCATGCCTGGCTTCAAATACTTACTTTTTAAACATGGGAGGGTGGTTTGGCACTAACTCTTGAGTCACCCTAAGGGACTTTGCATCCTTAAAAACCACCCAACAATGCATACTTAGGTGGCAAAGTGAGACAGTGGTTGCTTAGAGTTGAGATGTGATACCTGGGCCTCTAGCAGCCATCCCAAGCCATGAGGCAACCTTGAACTGGGGAGGCAGAGGCTGAGAACAACGGAGCAGAAAGATGGGCACCGAGCATCTGGGAGATGCAGAGGTCTCTGCACCAGCTGTGCCCAGGCCACATGCTGGACTTCTTTTTCATCAGAGACATAAAATTCTAGCTCTCTAAGCCCAGGTGGGCTTTTGTTTTGTGTTGTTTTGGTTTTTCAACTGTTATTTGCAGCCAAATCTGACCCTTAAAGGTGTGGATGGCTCTATGGTCTGGCATAGTGAACTCTGCCCTGCGCTGGGGGCCTTGGGGCGGGGTGGTGTCAGGTGATGGGGCAGGGGTGTGAGTTACAGGAGATGGAGAGAGGAGAGGTGGCTCAGAACAGCATCACTACTCTGTGTTCAAGGTCCCAGGAGTAAACAGGCCAGAGGCGAGCAGGAGGAGGAAAGGGTGCGCAGGACCTTGGGTATTGTGGGAGGTGGCCAGGCACCAGAGAGCAGGCCTCAGGTGCAGAGCCATGGGGGAGGAAAGGGAAACAAAGGCACCCTCACCCAGCGTGGTGGTGCACACCTATAATTCCAGCACTCAGGAGGCTGAGGTTGGAGGATCTTCTGTGAGTTGGAAGCCATCCTGGGCTACATAGTGAGATCCTGTCTCAAAAAAGTTAAAAAAAAAAATACAGATGGGGGCTGGGGGTATACCTCCATGTAGAGCATGTGTGTAGCATGTGTGAGGCCCTGGGTTTCATTCTCAGCACCCCTAAGAAAGAGACTAAAATATAGACTTGATGTGGGGTTCTGAGGGTCCCGAGGTGATGACACTGCCCCCCTGCACCCCATCCACCCTCCTTCTGTGCCAGTCTCACCCGTGGCCCCTCTCCTGGGTCTTCTTTTTTTTTGGTACCGGGGATTGAACTCAGGACCTTGCGCTTTCTGAGGCAGGTGGTGGAACCACTGAGCTAAATCCCCAGCCCATCCTGGGTCTTCTTTCAGCCTCAGCATGGTGAGCATCTCTCACAAAGCCCTCAGCCCCCAGGATCGGGGTCCTGTCCCTCGAGCTTGCTGCCGGGTCCCAGCACATTCAGAACAGCATTGCCTTCCATTAATGTTTGATGAGTGAATAAATGCTACACTTTAAATGACTAAAGCCAAACCTAATCAGCTGAAGCCAGTGATGCTGAAACTAGTTTCAATTTAAGTATTTAAGGCTGAGGGAAGTTAATCATTAGACCCAGGTAGGGATGATGAGATTTTGGGCCTCCCATGAATGTCATGAGCCCCATCCACCCCCCTCCCCTGTGAATACTGGGGCTCAGTACTTCCTTTAGGAACTAGTCCCCAGCCATCATGAGGACTCATGGGGCCGCCTCCTCCAGGGATACCGTGAAATATGGGGTAAGGGGGCAGACAAGAAATCAGCACTCAGGAGGCTGAGGCAGGGCCATCGCCTCAAGTTCCAGGCCAGCCTAGGCTACATAGCAAGACCATGTCTCAGAGAAACAAACAAAAAAAGAACAGTGGCTGCATCCTGAAGACCTATCCCTTGCCATCACACTTGCCAGGCCAGGGTGGACTTGGGCCAGGGAGGGGGGCCAGGGAGGGGGCCCAGGGTGGCAGCGGAAGCCAGGCCTCCAGTCACTCTTATTTTAAGCCTGGTGCACCCCCACCCCAAGCCTGATCTCCAGTGGGGGAGCCCCCGAGGGCCTCCCAGCCTCAGATCCACTCGGGGCTGCTGGCTCTGGGTCCTTCCTGGGTGTCACCCAGAATGACACCCAGAAACCAAGTTGGGAGACAGCCTGGCAGCCTCACGTGTGGCTTTTCCTCTGCATCAGCTCTCCAGTGGCCCTCATCTGGGACAGGCAGCCGGGAAAAGCTGAGCACATGGCCTACTTATGGCGGCGTTAATTATGGGCTCGGGTGTATGTTCCTGTCATGATGTAGCCAGCTCCTGGGCTGTGCACAGGGACCATTGTGTTCAGGGCATCCTAGGCCCTCTGACACTGCTCCACCTGCAGGTGGAGTAACCATTGGGAGGGGGCAGGGCTTGGGGTGGCCAGGGTGGCACCTCGTGGATTCTCTCCCCTTCCCTGGAGGGTACACTGCCTGCCTGGCGTGCACACACACAGGTACACAGTGCACACACAGACACGCTTGCACACTTACGGACAGTGCACACAAGCAAGTATGCAGCCCCCCCCACCTGGGAAACTCCCTCTCCTGATGCACCCTCATTGTCTCCCATGGACTCTGCTCTCCCAGCCGTCTGGATGTGGGTAAGGCTATCATTACTGCTCCTTTCCCCGTTCAGTTGCCTGAGAGGGAAAAATGACACTCAGGAGAAAGTTTTTCCTGCTCCTGGAGTCTAATTACTTGTTTGATGAGTCCTGACCCATACACATTTCCAGAGAGACACTCAATACCTGCTTGGCTCAGAGACCGCCAGCTGAAGCCACCCTCTGTGACTTTAGGAAACTTTCTCTTGAGTCCTTGTGGAAGTCCTGGCCGGCCCAGCCTCCAGGCTCTGTGCCCATCTTGCCTCTGCCCAGACCTGCCAGGCTTTCTCGTGCTGCCCTGTGTTTGTCCAGTCTTTCTCTTGCCACTCCCAGTGGCGGGTGCCCTGCTTTGGCCCCTCCCCACCCACAGCTAGTGTGTCTTCTCTGAGCAGGCTCTGCAACTCTTTCTGGTGGCTTTTGCAGATTTTTTCTTTTTGGTTTTTTTGAGACAAGGTCTTACTCTGTAGCCCAGAGCTGACCTTGACCTCACTATATAGCCCAGGCTGACCTGGAACTTGTGGCAATCCTCCTGCCTCAGCCTCCTGAGTGCTGGGATTACAGGCCTGTGCCACCACACCTGGCTCTCGCTTGCATTCATTGGTCTGAGTAGGTGCTCTCCCAATGTGGATGTGGCCCTGCCTCAGTGGAATGTGCATCCTTACAGGAAGAGACCAGCAGCAGTGGTGGCACCTGCCTGTCACCCCAGCACCATGGCTCCTGATCGCCACAAGTCAGAGGGCAGCCTGACTGCAGAGCGAGATACTCTCTCAAAAAAACAAAAATGAGGGCTGGGGATTTAGCCCAGTGGTTCTGTCGCTTGCCTTGCAAGCGCAAGAACCCGAGTTCGATCCCCGGTACCAAAAAAAACCCCCCAAAAACAAAAAAACAAAAATGGAAGCAAAATCCAGAGAGTGATAGCAAGTAAATTGTTAAACAGAATGCCAGGGTGGGGATGTGGGCTCAGCCTGTTCGTACATGGAGCTCATGGTGGGCAACCCCAACACAGTGCTCGGCTGCACCATTGTTCCTTGTTGCTCTCGGTTGTGAAATGTCCTTAACAGGTCAGAGCAGAGAGGCAAGAAAACCCGGAGCGCACAGCCTATCCTCTCGTCCTTGTGCACAGATTGTGGTGGTATTGTGCTCAGTGGGTCCGGAGGGACCATCCCACACATCGCCTTTGCCAGGAACACCCCAGGCTGGTGTCACAGTGAGGAGGACAGCGAGGCCCTGTGTGCCTGGTCCCAGCCTCCTGCGCTAACCAGCCTCCACGTTCCCAGGTCCCAAGGCTCCAGTGAGCTTCCGCAGATCCTCACTTGCTTCTGTTCCAAAGGTGACAGCCACAGCTGTGGAGGACTTGGACCCCAGGTTGGCCAGGGCTCCCCACTGGCCCCCGCTGGCCCCGCAGAAGAGGATGTGCGGCCCTGGTGCCCCTTGGTGCAGGATGTGACAGAGTTGTTCCAGAGCCTGGGGGCCCACAGCCCCGCCGTGTGCCCGCTGGGGCCCTGCAGCAGGTGGGTCCCACACCTTTCCTTCCTTGCACACAGGCTCTAGCCGAAGAATTGGGGAGTTCTTTTGGATTTAGTGTTATTATTGGGTTTTTTGAGACAGTCTCACTGTGTACTTAAGGCTGCTCTTGAACTCACTATGAAGCCCAGGCTGGCTCCGAACTCACGGTGATCCTACTGCCTCAGCCTCTGGTGCACTTAAACCAAATTCACATCAAGGGAAGGCACAGGAGGGGATCGAAGGAGCCACTGGCATCCCTCTGGAAGTGGAAGTGACTTGGAGACTACCACCTAGGCTGCACCCTGCTCTGCACAGAGGCACTTCCTCTTTCCCAGTTTCACCAAGATTTGACTGCTTCCTGACCTTTGTGCTACAGGGAGCAGGTGGTGTTGGAACTGTGGCCCTGTCCCAGCACTCAGAAGGCTGAGACAGAAGGATCAAGTCCAGCCTGGGCCACACAGTGAGTTCAGCAGTTCAACACCAGCCTGAACTACATAGTGAGGCTCTGTCTCAAAAAAAGAAAAAATTCCTTTTGAAAGATGCAGTTCTGCCCCTGGACCATGCAGGCCATCTGGTAGAGCACCATGGTCTGGGGCCAGGGCCACGGACACCTGGTCCTCAGAAAGGGCCGCCCTCTGCAAGGCCAGGGTGTAAATGAGTGACACTTCACACATAGGAAGGACCTTCTCTCCATCTTGGAGGCCATGGCAACTGGCCTTTGCAATGGTATGGTTTAATCCAGGTAAAATGACCCAGGCTCCCTTCCATTAGCTCAGTGTGGAGTCCTCTCCAACATGGCCATGGCACAGGGGACAGATGGATAGTGCCCTGCCTGCTGCCAGGCAGCTCTCAAACATGGCAGCAGTGACCCTGCACTTACCCTTTTCCCTGCGAACATCACAGCACTGGATGGACGCCGTCACCATTTGTAACCCAAATGTGGAGGCATAGGCAGGGGCCAGCGGTATGCCCCTGGGATGGTCATTTCATGAGTGTAGAGTGGTGCCACAAGACCCAGATTCCAGCTCCTGGATGCTGGTCACAGAGCCCTAATCCTGGGGCTGGGTACACAGGACCCCAGCGAGGTCACTTTGCTTGTGGGGTCCTACTGTGGGGCATCAGGAAGCTCTGAACTCCCTGTGCCCAGGAGGGGAGTGGGTGTGCTGGGCTGCTGGTGCCCTGTGCTCTGTGACCTCGTGCTGGCGCTGATGGAGCCCTGGGGACAGGTGTATCGGGATGGTGGTCACAGACGCCAACACTTGAGTCAAAAGGCAGGAGACAGAGGACTCATAGCACTGTCCCCAAGGTGAGAACTGGGGAGAGCCTGGTGCTCGCTGGGGAGGCTGGTGTCCCCTCCCTGGGAGGCAGGAGGCAAGGGCTCTATCACAGCCACAGTTCTGCTTGCAGCACAGGAAGACATGGCCCGCTCACACTTCCTCCACTCCTCCCTTTGGCAGTGGCAGAGTGGCTGCTAACCCATCTGTCTCTACACCAGAGAGGCTACCCAGCCCTTGGGAGCCCTGAAAACCTGCCTGGCAGGCTTGTGTATCCCTGCACACTCACAGGCTGCACCGACAGGGATACCCCCTCACACCTGGCACTGGCCTGGGCTGTATCGTGGGTGCTGACACTAGCCCCATCCATGCTCCACCCTAAGAAGCACTTAAATTGGAAAGGGTCCAGCCTCAGTCTCCCCCTCCACCAGTTTTGATTCAGCAGTGCCAACTTTCCAGGTACCTAGGAGATGGATCTGTCTTCTTCCCCTCTGAGAGCAGCACTAGCGCCAAGATGTGAAGAACGGAGACCTTTCCCCGCAGAGCTCCAGGAGTGATGCTCTCAGCCGGGTGTGGTGGTGCATGCCTGTGGGCCCAGCTCTCAGGAGGTTGAGGCAGGAGGATTGCCACTAGCTGAAGGCCAGTCTGAGCTATATAGCTAAACTTTGGCTCAAAACAAAAACAAAATCCAACAAAAACGAGTAGTACTCTTCCAGTCCCATGGTGGTGACCACACTGGACCCGTTATTCTTGGTCACAAAGTCACTTATTTGAAATCAGCAATGGATACTTGACCAAAGGAGGAGTTAGGGCCTAGGCTGCTTTTCTCCTGCCCAGGGCCTGTGTGTGTGGGAAATGGCGGGAAGCCTGTGTGGTATGACCCTCGTCTGCTGCCGCCTCACTTGCTGTGAGCCTCCCCACCCTGAGCGGGACTCTGGCCTTGGCTGCCTCACTGGGCACTATCCCATGCCTGAGGACCCCACCTCGATGGGCTCGTCCCTGCAGAACTTGTCAGGCCCAGTGCACCCCTCACGGAGGTTCACAAGGCCAGCTGCCATTCCAGTCTTCACCTGGTGGGAGGTGGTACAAGGGGACCCCCCAGGTTGCAGCAAGAGCCCTCACTGTCCCCGAAGGGGGCCCCTCCACACCTTGGCAGGGAGGTCAGTGGGGTGTCAGGAGTCCTTGCAGGGAGAGGTTATGACAGGCCATGCTTGCCTTTGCTCTCCCCCTCTTCCTCCTCCTCTTCTCTCCCACTTTTCTCTGTCTCTCTGTCCCCACCTCACTACCTTTGGGAAAGCCAGCTGCCCTGTTGAGGAGCCTGGAAGAGGCCCCTGTGGTGAGGAACTGGCAGCTACCAATTGGTGACCCCGTGAATGAGCCTGGGCAAGCCAAAGGTGACTTCAGCCCACCCAGCATCTCAAGGGCCACCCCATCCAGACCCTGGTCCACACCCCTGAGCCACCTCTCGACTCTTGCATCCTGGACCTGTATGGGGTGCTCTTTCACACATGGCCACAGCGGCCGTGGATGGCTGGGTCTTTAGAGCCTCCTGCCCTGCCCCGTGCCCTCTGTGCCCAGCTCCTGTGACTGCCCCACCATTGTGTCCTTGCTATCTCTGTCTCACCTTAGGATGCCAGAACAGGAGGACAGGGAGCAGCAGGACCCACCCCAGGAGGTGGCCCTGGAGGCAAGCCTGAACTACATCTACAAGGTGAGTTGCCTTCCACCAGCCTGTCCAGCAGCCAGACCTCACTTCCTGTTCTCTCCACTCCTGCCCAGTGTGGCCGCAGGGGTTCATGTCCTCACTGTCCCTGTCCCTCCACTTGTGGCCACCCCACCCCAATGCTCCTTCCTTCCAGTTCCTGACGCTGTGTGTCTATTCCCGGCCCGGGATCTACACTGATGCCAGCCTCCTGGGCCTCATCGAGCTTCTGTGTCGCACCAGTCTGGATGTGGGGCTCCGCCTGCTGCCCAAAACTGACCTCCAGCAACTTCTGCTGCAGCTGCTGGAGTGCATCCGAGAGTGGCCCGGCAAGGTGTGTGGCACTGCTCTACGGGCTGACTTCCCTACTTCTTCACCCGGGTAGGCTGGGTGGCAGGTTGGAGTGGCAGGTCGGAGGCGGTGTCCCTTGCAGCCTGCCCCTGTCCCTGTCCCCACAGCTGCAGCGCCTGTGCCGCACCATCAGCTGGGTGTCCGACCACCACCACAACCTGCTGGCCATTGTGCAGCTTTTCCTGGATGTGACCCCCCGGGCCAGGTGGGTGTCCCCCTCCCTCCCGCTAGGCAGAGCCAGAAATCCAGAGCACTAATGACTTCTTTACAGACAGACGCCATAAAGCCCAGTTCTCTTAGCACAGACTCATTAGCATGCTGCCGCCTTCGGTGCCTGCCCTCCCCACCTCTCCAGCACCATCCCTATGGTTCTGCCCTCTGCGTGGCATTTCTCCGCCAGAATTACCTCACCATTTGCTCCATTTGTGGCTGCCCTTCCCCTCCACAGCCCCTTCACGGGAGCAGGTACCTTGTTGGGGTATCTGACAGGCTGTTGGTGCTTGGGAAATTCTTTTTGAATGATTAATGATGAATGAAGTAAACAAACAGTTCAGCCCAGGAGGAGATAAATCACTTGGCTGAGCCAGGCATGGTGGTGCATGCCTGTAATCTCAGCTATTTGGGTAGGTTGAGGCAGAAGGATCCCAAGTTTGAGGTAAGCCTGGGCAACTTAAACCCTTTCTCAAAAATTTTTAAAAAGTCGTGGGAGTGTAGCTGAGTGGGAGAGAACTTGCCTAGCAGGCATGAGTTCCTGGATTCCATTCTCAGTACAACAAAAAGAAAAAGGGAAAAAGGCACACAGCTGGACCACCCCCTCTGGAGCGGACCCCTCCCATGCCAGCCTGAAGAGTTGCCCACAGGGCCGGTCCCCTGCTGCTCTCTTCCTGTGCACAGCTCAGGGAAAGACATCCACTCTCTTTGGAGGCCCAACTGGAGAAACGCTCCAAAGAGCAGGCCCAGCTATGGTCTCTGTTGTGAGCCTGGCCAAGAGTGGTGGCCTCTCCATGGTCCCGAAGGGTGACTTCCAGGCTGTGTTGAAAGAACCAGGCTTTGGGAGCCCTGTCCCAGGCCTCCTGGTGCTTCAGTGGTGGTGCCCTGCCCTGCCCCAACCACCAGGATTTCTTCCGTCTCCTCTGAAGAGGGTCAGCCCTGCCTCCTGGTCCCTGCTCTATTGCCCAGGCTGGAAACGGTAGTCCTAGAGGTTCCTCCATGACCACTTCATTATCCTTCTCATTCCGCAGTCCTGTGCTTAGCCAGGTGTGGAGGTGCATACTTGAGGCTGAGGCAGGAGGATTGCAAGGTGGAGCCCAGCCTGGGCAGTTTAGGATCTTAGCAAACTCTGTCTCAAAATAAAATTTAAAGGGCCAGGGATTTAGCTCAATGGTGCCGCTGCCTACCTTGCAAGTGCAAGGTCCCAAGTTCAATCCCTGGTACCAAAAAAACCAAAAAAAAAAAAAAAAAAATTTAAAAAGGGGCTGGGGGTGGAGCTCAGTGTGAAAATCCTGGGTTTCATCCTCAGTGCCAAAAAAGAAGAGTCCTCAGTCCCTTCTATGCCCTTCCCACCCCCTCTTGCTGTGGTTTCTTGTCTCCTTCGGAGCACACAGACCCATCTGCCCCTCCTCCTGCCCAAAGTCTGTGTACTCTGCAGACACCTGTATGTATTCTGGCCCTGCCTACCATGCTCCCTGCCTCCTGCCGGCCCAGGGCCACAGCCTGAGGCTGTTGCTGAGACCTGTGTGGTCCAGCCTGACTTCCATTGCTCCACAGGGCCATGTTGCTTGGGGTTGTGTTTCTCAAATACACGCCTTACAAATCTGCATATGTGCATCTGTGATGGGTCTTCTTTTTCATGGCAACGTAGTATTCCCTACTAGGCATGAAACCAGTCCCTGGCCTTGGGTGTTCCCCCGGGGACTGTCCACATGTACCATCTTTGGGCATCTCTATAAATACTTCTCTAAGATGAGCTCCTGATGGGAAAATTGCAGTCCTAAAGTCCTAAAGTCTGTGCATTTAAATTTTGCCCTAAAAAAAACAAAGCTACACTGGTTAGTATACCACCAAGCAATTATAAAAATGGCTGTTTCTGCATATTCTTGTTAACACTGCATCTTCTCAGTTCTGTTTTTAAGTCATAGTCAATCTGGTGAATGAAGGATATAATTCTGTGACTCTGATTTTTATTTCCCTGATTGTCAGTGAAAGTGAGCATCTTTTTCTGTTGTGTTTCTTTTACTATAAATTACCTATAGGGCTCCTTACCCATTCTTCTGTCAGGTAATTTATCTTCTTAACTACGTTGACATATGTGTTACTCACCGTACGTGTTGCAATCACTGTATTGCCCTGTGTTTTCTCCTAAGGTTGTAAATTATCATTTTTATTTATGTTACTTACTTGTAAATTGTCATTTTTTAAATACTTATGTGTGATATCATCTAGCTAACTAGATGTTTTCTTACTGGTTTTTCTTTTTTCTTTTTTTGTGTGTGTGACAGAGTCTCGCTATATAGCCCAGGATGGCCTCAAACTTAACAGCAGTCCTCATGCCACAGCCTCCAGAATGCTTAGATGATAGACATGTGCTACTATGCCTAGCAGTGATTTTAAATTTTAGAGCAGACTTAGAGGTGCAGGAGAGTGGTGTGCGTAGTGCAGAATTGCCTGGACTCTCGTGTAATGAAGCCTCTGTGTCCTGCGCAGCAGGCCTTCCCCACTCTTAAGCCCAGGAAGAGTCTCCCTGTTTCCTCCCAGGACTTGCATAAACTTATTCCTGGCAGCTTCCTCCCATCTGGGACCCATCTCTCTTAGGTAGGAGACAAGGATCTAACTGGATGTTTTCCACCCGCAAAGAGCCAGTGGACCCAGTAGCTTTTTTCCTATAAATTGTTGTCCTTTCCCAATCAATCTGGAGCAGCCTTTGTCATGGGCCAAACCTGTAACACTGCTTGTTCCTCTGCCAGCCATGGGGACTGCAGTGTGGGGGACCTGTGTCTTTGCAGGGTCTGTGCTGGTCCAGGGCCCAGCAGAAGTGGCCTTCAGTGCTACAGAGTGAATGAAGCAGGATGTCTTTCATCTGCCCTTGGGACAGACGCCTCCACCGGCTTCTGCCTCGGGCCAGGAGCTTTGGGGATTTTAAAAACTTTATTTATTTATTTATTTATTTATTTATTTATTTATTTATTTAAGATGGGGTCTCACTGTGTAGCCCAGGCTGGCCATAAACTCACAGGGACTCTCCTGCTTCAGCCTCCCTAGTCAACACCAGGCTGGACCAGGAGCTTTTTGAGGGGAGAGGCTTCCTCATCAGAATGAGGGTTGTTTATGTAGAAATTTTATTCTATTTCCTAAATGGATAAAGCATTCAAGGGATGAAAAGAAATAAACACAGAAACTCACCCCAGCCTGGCCCGAGCTGCCCTCCTGTTGTCTCTGTGCTCACGCATGCACAACCCCCCCTCCTGTTTTCCCTCGGCTGTGCCGTGTTTGGTAGCCCTTCCAGACCATGTCCTAACAGCTTCCAGTTCTCTTCCTCAGCCCCACTGTGCACAACATGGTCTCTGGGTGGTGCTGCCCCTCCATGTCCCCTGCGGTTGTGGCATTGTCACAGGAGCTGGCCACCCCGTTCTGGCCATGCTGGTGGCTGCCCCACTGGGCTCTGTGCCCAGACTACCTCCAGGAAGGGGGGCGGGTTGTTGTGTGAGGGGCTGTCACAACCATGGACTGCTCAACTCAGGAAGGATAAAGGAGAAGCTCCCACTGACACTGGTGCCTGCACACCCAGTCCCCGCCTGCTGATGGTGGACTTCCGCTGTAGATCTAAGAGCTTAACCTTCACAAATGAGATCAACTAAGCCAGGTATGGTAGTGTACCCCTGTAAGTACTCAGGAGGCTGAGGCAAGAGGATCGCTGAGAGTTCTAGGCCAGCCTGGGCTACATAACGAGAACTTGTCCCTTGAAAAACCAAGCAAGCAAAAGGAAAAGAAATACTAGAACAAACCACCCAACATGAGGCCAGTGGGAAGAGGGAAATTTGTGTCTGGAAGGTGACCCCTGTGGTGGCTACCCTGGCTTCTGTCCTGGGCCCCAGTGGGGGCTGAGCCTTGAGCAAGTCCTATGGCCACTCACAGGCACTGCAGGAGGAAGAGGGGGCTGAAGGCTGCTCAGCAGCACTCTGGGGAACCCGCTTCCTCACCCTCTGAACTGCTCTTCAGTGTCTCGAGCAGCTGCTGCTCAGGCCTTTGGAGTGGCAGGACGAAGGAGATAAGACTGCCTAGGCAATGACAGAGGTGTCTGAAACAGGTCCCTGCACCTAGCGACCTGGCATGGAGTCCTGGCATGCAGTGTGAGTGGGAAGGATCAGGCCTGTCTGGGGCTGGCAGGGCAAGGAGACCAGTACATGGGTCCATGTGACCCCTCAAGGGCAGTTTGGCAAGATCAAGAAGATGACTCAAAAATGTGCAAACTCTTCCCCCAAATAATTGACTGGAGGAAGTTGGATAGCGAGGAAAGATTTATCATCTCAGGACTTAGTATAGTAACGGTCATGATAGTGAAACAATTGGAAAAGACGTCAGTGCTGCATGAGTTACATTCCACCCACACTGTGGGATGTTTTATCGTACTCAAAAATGACAGAAGAAAGTAGGGCGTGGAGCACACATCTGTAATCATACAAGAGGCTGAGGTAGGAGGGTCAAAAGTTTGAGGTCAGCCTGGGCTACATAGCAAAACCCTATCTCAAGAAGAAAAACGAGGAGGAGGAAGGTGATCAAGAATATAGTGCTAAATGAAAAAAGACCATAGAAGCAAATGTAAAGTGTCAGTTATTATTAGGGAAGAAGTAATCTTAGAGTGTTGAGATTAACATGAGTGGCCAGGGGCCAGGGATTTAGCTCAGTGGTTCCAGCGCCTGCCTTGTAAGCGCAAGGTCCCGAGTTTGATCCCGGTACCAAAAAACAGAAAAGTAGAACAAATAGGCCCCATGCACCCACATCCTGCCACAGCCGACCCTTGGGGCCCCACAATTCCTCTCTGCTTGTACCTGCACCCCACACCCACACCCCACACCTGACCATTGTGCAGTAAATCTCACTCTGACCACACCTGGGTCACCTAGGACACTCGACAGTATGACAGCTGTCACAAGTGACTGAGTCACTTCCACATGCCGAGCCTGCCCCGGTTCAGCACCCTAGCACTCAGGAAGCCAGAGCTCTGGTGACTGCCCGGAGGGCTCTCCTGACATGGCCCTGGCACTACACCCTTCCTCAAGGTGTCCCTGGAATGTTCTGGGGACTTGAGTCTCAATGTCCCCTCTGTCCAGCTGTCATGGTGGCTAGGGTCAGCTCCCTGGCATGAGGCCTCTGCATCTCCTAGCGCTTAGGCCACCAAGATGTCACCATGCTCCATGAATACTGAGCGTGAGCAGAAGCCCACATTGACTCTCAGGTCTTCTCTCTGCTTCTGTGACAGAGAAACATTGGACTTGGGGACTAGGAAGAGTTCCCAGAATATAGACACCCTTCAGCTGTGTCATGCCTAACTCTGCACAGAAGCCCGGGGCAGCTGGTCCTATGTCCCTCCTGTTGGGAGCTCAGTTTGGCTTTAACCAACTGGATGTTCTACAGGGAGGGGAGCAGGGACAGCAACCCTCACCAGGCCCTTCTTGTGCAAACTGTCTTCAGCCTGGGGAATTCTGGAGATTGGGGAATCTTTTGGTTTTTGAGACAGGGTCTCACTATGTAGTTCAGGCTGGCCTTGAACTCACTATGTACCCAGGCTGGCTTTGAACTTGCAGCAATCTTCCTGCCTTAGCCCCTTGAGTGGTAGGATGACAGACTTATGCCACCATGACATGGCTCCTCGTCCATGCCCAGACCCCTGTCCCCTTCAGGGTTCCCAGGAGCCACTGTGCGAATATCCGGTCAGCCTCTTAGGGCCAGCATATTCCGCACTTCCTGCTGCAGAAGTCTGCACTTTCCAGGGGACAGCGGTGGCCCTGTCACCCTGTAGCAGACAAGTACATGCCTGGTCTCACCTCCTTCCTTTCCAGCAGACCCTAGTTCTGATCCTAATGGTTTTGCCTCTTCCAGACCTTTTCTTCAGCCATCCCTTCTTACTCCTGGCCTGTTAGCTTTTCATCCTCTGCTGCTCTTAGTCCACAGCAAAACGTGTCTTCCATCTTTGGTGACAGTTCTGTCCCCAGCTCTGACATCCTTCCCCAGAACCCTCACTCCCATCTGGGTCCTGCCCTCCCTCGGACACATGGGTTCTTCAGGGCTTAGTGTTGCAGGGAGCTCTCACCAGGCACAACAGACATGGCCAGAACATTCTGGAAGGAGGTAGCCTGGATCCAGTGGACGTGGAGACTTCAGAAGGGTTCAGCTCTGGTGGATGAAAGGAGAGACAGAGGTCATGCCAAGGAGCCATTCCAGACTGGGAGGACACTGGGGGCACCGGTCAGTACCGAGCTGCATGCATGTGGGGCTGGCTGGAGAGGGGGCTCTAGGAGTAATGTTGGGCCAGGTCAGGATACACTGTGATCAGACAGCCAGCATGCCAGCTCAGCCTCACTGTCCCCAGCAGTCTCCTCATGGCCCCCTGAGGAGTGATCACCACCCCTTACAGAACCACCTGGCCTCACGATGCTGTTCTCCCCACTTCTCTACCCTCTGTCCACCTCTCTCTCTGACCCCTCTCAGTTGTCATATTGAGCACCCCTTGCCCACCACCCTAGAGCCTTGGTATTCTCAGGGTGCAGGGCACTGGGTCCTCGGCCCAGACCACCCTGTGTGGGGACCAGGCACATTCCACCACTGCACGCAGTTCCTTTGCTACGGTCCCCACATACAGGAGGTGAGGACTTCAGATTCAGCCTGTGGGAGGCGGAAGTCACCACTGTCTTTGAGGACACAGCCTCCTCCATATTCCGCAGGAGTGGCACCTCCCTGGCTGCTCCCTGTGCCCACCCCTATGGCACGTTCTGTCCCTTGCAGCTGTCTGGCCGCCTAGGTTCCTGCTGGAGAATCCAGCTCCAGTCTTCCCACTCCATTTGTCCTGTGCTGCCCACAGTGTCACCTCCTTTCCAGCCTGGGCAATTTAGCAGCCTAGTGAGACCTTGTCTCAAAGTTTAAAAGAAAAGAAAAATGCTGGGGATGTAGCTCAGTGGAAAGGCCTTTGGGTTCCAGCCCCAGTACCAAAAAACTGTAAAAACATAGAGAAAGTGTTGATTCGTTGGATTGTTGTCTGTTTTTTTGAGACAGGGTCTCGCTTTGTAGTTCAGGCTAGCATTGAACTCACTGTGTAGTCCGGGCTGGCCTTAAACTTGTGGCCATCCTCTTGCCTCAGCTTCCTGAGTGCTGGGATCACAGGCACGCACCACCTTGCCCAGCCTAACCTCATATCTCTTTTGACAGATTAATCAGAACCATAGTCTGGGGAGGATGGTAGAGCACATGTGCCTGAGTTCCCTGGGACACTGGATGAGGCCATCACTCTGCCCTGGGGACAACATGCAGAATGTGGGTTGGCAGAGGGTAGAACTCAGTGGATCCATTAGAGTCCACCTGCAAGGCAGCCCCATGGTGCCCTTGGGTTCCACCTCCACTCTCAGGTCGGCCAGGGCAGAACCAGCATCCAGGGTGAGGCCATTAGGGGAACAAGGCCCGAGTCACAGATGACATGAATACAGCTGTCATTGACACTAAGATCTTGGAAGGTCAATCCTAAAGGCTTGGCCCTGCTACACAATAAGGAGCTGGATCTGGAGATGGGGTTTGACAGCCAGACATGTGAGAAAAGACGGTTGTGCAATCTGTTAACTGCTTGTTGCTTTCAGAGCTGCCGAGGAAATGCACATTAGCCTGTGGGCCTCGCTGTTGGGCACTGATGCCCCGGGGCCTCTGGAAGCCCCAGAGGAACACAGTGGACATGTGGGGCTGTGGCACCCAGGGATGGGGAGGCCGCCCAGAAAGCTCCAGAGCAGAGTCCAGATGCCCAGGAGGAAGACACTGGCAAGATGTGCTGGCAGCTTCTGGTGTTGGACCAGCCCTGGACTGGGGTCTCAAGGCTCCTCCTCACTGCAGTGAATGCCTAGTGGGGTGCAGCGAAGGGAATTAAAGGGCAACCATACAGGCTGTAGACAGGGTCTCAAGGTGTTTAAGTTCCAGGTGCTGTGGCTTTGTCATGATATTGGGGTAGGATGGAGCTTAGATGGTGATTGTCAGTGTGCACTGTGTGGTTTGCTTATACATGGAGGATGTTGTCACACATGAACGCTGGGGCACTTGTTAAGGTGATCATGTATGTGCTGACACCCAGCCATGGCACACAATGTCACCCACTCCCTAGAGGAGGACACAGGGATCAGGTCACCATCGAGCTTTGAGCATGAGGGGCTGGCTAGAGAGGGGGACTCTAGGGACTAATGTGAGGGGCCTCTCCCAGGCATCTGCAGAGGTAAGCACTTCCCCTTGGTCCTCCATTGTGCAGACCTGTGTTGCCTGGTCTGGGACATTTCTTTAAACAGGACAGCACAGTGTCCTCTCATGTCTGTGTCCTTCGCTCACGTTTTGTCTGGGGGGTGCATCCACGGGGATGTGAGTTGTTTCAGACTGACCCCTGTATTGCAGTGTGGTGCCCTGGCCTTGCAGACTCGGGGATGGTGGGGTGGGTTACCCAGCTCCTAAGCCCTGGTTCTTCCTGCCCGAGTAGCATACGCTCACGTGCAAGAGGAAAGATGCCAAATGAGGGGTCAAGGAGCAGGGACCGTGACAGGGTCCACCGGGTGAGGAGGTGGTGTGGATAGCCCAAGATGCAAGCTAGGCCAGAGCCAGGGCAGGTGTCACCAGCCCTTCCACAGTGGAACCAGCCGCAGCTGCTGCTTCCTGAACTGCCCTAAAGACACGGAAAAGGCAGCTTGTGGCTTTGGCCAGGTGCCCAGCAGCCTTTTAGGGCAGCGCAGCCTTGACAGGGCCCAGCTTCCCATGGAGGAGTAAGGACAGGGCTTCCTGGGCCTGAGATTTTGTCCTGAAGTCCCAGGGGCTGGGCTTTGGCCAGTGGCTTTGCCTTTCTGGGTGCTCCTGCAGGGTTGCACAGGGGACCACAGGGACAGCCACAGACTGGAACAGCACCCGCATCCTCTGTGCTGTGGGTTTAGGAAGCAGTTTGCAGCCTCCTCCTCCTGAGGGACTGCAGCTTCCCTGCTCAATGATCCGGTGTCCTGGTCTTGCAGAGGCCCTGGATGCGCAGGGCAGAGGCCAGGCTGGTCTAGAGCCTTTGCCTTATATGACAGCGGCCCAGAGGAATCGGGCTCTGCTCCTACTTTGCCCGGCTTGAGCTTGGGGAAGTCTTGCCAGGTGGGGGTTGACCATTTCTTGGGGAGGAAGAGCCTGAGGCCAGCCACACTTGTCCCTGTACATGGGGGTGGCATGTGGGGGACTCCCTGCTTTTTCTCCCCGACCTGCAGGGAAGAGGCGGGAGGCGACTAGGATAAAAGGTGCTGGGCAGGCGCGGTGGTGGTGGTGGTGGTGGCGGGGCCTGGTGCTCTCAGATATTCAGATGTAGGCTCCTGAGTCCACTCACGCCCCCCATTGCTGTTTTGGTACTTTTCTTCCTTTCTGGACTGCAGCCCAGCCTGACCCAACCGGCCCGCCTCTTCCCTTCTGGATTTAGCACCAGGGCCCTGCTGCGAGGCTGCTCAGTCCCTCCCCTCCCCTTCCCCCCTTGGCCTTGCTGGGCCGGGCGGGATTAATGAAGGCCAGATGCGGCTCACTCTGTGCTGCTGTGGCAGCCCCACTGTGGGCCGTTTACCTCCCACTGTGTTCCCAGCCCAGCTGCTGTGGGCTCCTGGGAACAGCTGGAAAGCAGGTCCTGGCTGACAGCAGAGTCAGCAGAGTGGGCCTTGGGCTGGTGTATCATGGTGGGGGGAACAGCAAGGGGCGTGCACCTCTGAAGCTGTGAAGTTGGGGCACAGTGGGGAGGAGCAGGGTGAAGGCCTCCTATTTGCCACCCTAATGTTCCATGCCAGGCAGGGCCCACTGGGCACAGAAAAGGGTCAAGGCTAAAGGGAGACAGAATCAGGTCCCCACACTGCTTCACTGTTGGTCTTCCTGGTCAGGAAGGGAGGGAAGCCAGGTGTGGTGGTACACACCAGTCATCCCAACACTTGAGAGACTGAGGCAGGAGGATCACTATGAGTTTGAGGCCAGCCTGGGCTACATGGTGAGAACCTGTCTCAAAAAAAAATGGGGGGGGGATTTAGCTCAGTGGTTCCACTGCCTGCCTCCCAAGTGGAAGGACCCAAGTTCGATCCCTGGTACCAAAAAAATAAAAAAATAAATTTTAAAAAAAGGGGGCGGGGAATGGTTGGTCCTCCCACGATTGCCAGATGCAATGCAAATACTACATGGGGCAAGCATGCTAAAAAAATTAGCCTTTGTGTTTCTGAAATTCAGATGTAGCAGGGCATCCACTGTTTCGGTTTGCTAAGTCTGGTGGGCCTATCTTCCCTTCCAGCCGAGTTTCTTTATTACATGAAGGTTTTATTCCACTCCAGTGTATAAACAACAAAGCACAGGTCATTTGACATGTATGACTCAGTGAGTTTTCACAGCACCCAGGTCAAGAAATGAGGTGCAACCAATCCAGGCATGGTAGTGCACGCCTGTAATCCTAGCACTTGGGAGGCAGAGGCAGGAGGATCACCACAAGTTCAAGGCTAGTCTGGGCTACAAAGTAAGTTCAGGGCCAGCCTGAACTACAAAGCAAGACCCTGTCTCAAAATACCAAAAAAAAAAAAAATGAGGCGCAACTGGAGCCAGCTTCAGGGTTGCTCCCTAGCATCTCATCCTCCAACTGCTCTTTTCTGTTTTGTTGTTTGTTTTTTGAGACAAGGTCTCACTTTGTAGCTCAGGCTGGCCTCGAACTCACAGCAGTCGCCCTGCCTCAGCCTCCTGAGTGCTTGGATACAGGCATGTACCACCATGCCCAGCCCCCTCTCATTTTTTGTGGCTGTGTACCTAGGAATAGAGTTTTGAGTCCTGGGTAGGCATGCGTACATCTCCAGTAGATCCTCCCCAGTGCTTTCCCACATGGATGTGCCCAGCTGCATGTGAGCACGGCAGCCTAGCACCCTCCCTGGCTTGGGCACACCCTCCTTTCCTGGGAGCTCCTCCTGATATGTGGGTACCTCTCTTCAGTCAGCAGCTCTTGCTTGGTTTTTTTTGTTTTTTTTTTTAGTACCAGGGATTGAACTTGGGACCTTGTGCATGTGAGGCAGGCAACTGAACCACTGAGCTAAATCCCCAGCCCAGCTCTTGTTTCGTTGGTGGTTCCCTCTTGACTGTTAGCTGAGAAAATCAATACAACCCCCAAGGTTCAGACCCGGTGTTAGGGCCTCTGATCTCAGCCTGCCTAGGGTCGAGGGGGCTTTGAGGGGCCACCCTGTCTCAGGTACCCATCACCTGGGGCAGTAGGCACCCTGGGAAGTCTCCAGGCAGCCTTCAGCACTGGCTGGGGTGACAGGGCTGTGACCAGGCGCGGTCCTGCCTCCTGAAGTCCTTCCCTAGGGAAACATCCTACATCCCACAGGCAACAGCTCCTATGTGGCTCTTCCGGCTGTCCCACTGGGGTAGCTGAGGGTGCCCAAGGGCTTCTCCAGCCCTCCAGTGACCCGGGGCACTTCCTGTTGAAGGACCTGGCCCCGGATCACACAGGTTCTCAGTGAGTATCCACTGCAGGCTGCCCAGGTGGTGGCCACATCAATATCCAAGCCTGAGAGTCCAGAGGGGCCCAACCTGAACAAGGCCCTGGGTTCCATGCCCACATCTGGAAACAAAAGTCCCTGGCAGCTAATGTCCTCTGCCCATGGGGGACAAGGAGCATGCAAGGCACATGAATGGTTGTGACCTCGTGATGTGGGGTGGCCTTGGGCGTTCAGGTGAAAGTCCCCTGTCTCTGAGCCCTCAGGCCCTATCTCCCTTCTCTTCTAGAGCTTACGGAGTTGTAAAAACCAGAATCACAAACATTAGTGTAGAAAAACCTGGCCAGGACCTGGGCATGGTAGTGGACACCTGTAATCCCAGCACCTGGGAGACTGAGGCACTGTGAGTTGGAGACCAGCCTGAACTATACATTGGGACCTGGTCTCAAAAAACAAAACTAGGGCCGAGGATTTAGCTCATAGGTTCCAGCACCTGCCTTGCAAGCACAAGGTCCTGAGTTCGATCGCAGGTACCAAAAAAAAAAAAAAACAGAATACCTGGCCTTTGCTCCTGAAGAGACATTAGCCGCACACCCAGGGCTGATGGTCACCTCTCAGGGGAACCCAGGGAGTGGGCTTCTCAGAAGAATGCGAAATCAGAAGTTGGTGCAGGGAGTAGGATGTCACCAAGAAGGAAATGTGTTTCTCATTTGAGTTGCTTTCTTTTCTGTGATGCCAGTGATAGAACCCAGAGTCTTGCACATGCTACGTAAGTGCTCTGCCACTGAGCCGCATGCCTGCCTGTTAACCCTGCTGGATCTACACTCAGATGCAGGAAAGTAGGAATATTGAACCACTGGTTGGTTGCTTGGCTGGTTGGTTTTGCTTTGTTTTTTGGTATCAGGGATCGAACTCAGGACCTTGTGCTTGCCAGGCATGTGCAGCACCACAGAGCTAAATCCCCGGCCCTGGTTGTATTTTTGAGACAGGGTCTCACTGTGTAGTTTAGGCTGGGCTCAAACTCACTTGTGTATCCCAGGCTGTCCTTGAATGTGTGCCAATCCTGCTGCCTTAGCCTCTTGAGTGCTGGGATTGTAGGTGTGCACCATCATGCCCAGCTTGTTTGTTGGAGCCCAAGCCCTTCACACTAAGATACATCCCCAAACCCTTTTCAGTGGTTTTTGTTTTTGTTTTAATTTCAGATAGGGTATGGCACAGTTGCCCAGGTTGGGCTCAAACTTGCGATCCTCCTGCCTTGGCCTCCCGGAGTACAGGGACTGCAGGCATGCGCCATCACCAGGCTGGCTTTGAACCACTTTGGAGTAGTCCTCTGCCTGTTCATCTCCACAGATCCGTATGGAAATGGAGTGGGCAACTCCTCTCTCTGTGGGTGTCCCATGCCCACCCCAACTTCCCCTGGCCCCCAAATTGCCACCCCTTCAAGTCCTTCCATTCTTTCTCTCCCAGGAAGCTTCGAAACCAGCTCAGCCTCGTAGTCATTGCCCGGCTGTTGGGCCAGGAAGAGGTACTCCCTCTCTGGAAAGAGAAGAGCCAGGTGAGTTGGCGTTGGCCGGGCAGGAGGCCTGTGAGTGGCTGCCCCTGTCCCCATGGACTCACCACCCCAAGGCTTCGTTGGAGTGCTAAGCTGGGCCTGAAGTTTTTTTCCTCCAATTCTTTCAGCCTAAGATTCCTAGGGTTAGGGGCCCCATGTAGGGGTCCAGTGCCTGCCTAGTGGCCTCTTGTGTGTGAGTTCCACCCTCATACCATCAGTAAGTGGTGTCAAGCACCCATAGGCCTGGCTTCCTAGGAGGCTGAGACAGGAGGATCATTTGAGCTCAAGAGTTCCAAGGAGGCCAAGGCAGGAGGGTGGCTAGCTTGTACTGCGGAGCAAGTTCAAGGCTGGCCTGAACTACATAGTGATATCCTATTTCAAAACCCAAAACAGTAAATTAAGGTGAAATACACATGACTTTTACCATTTCAGCTGTTACACTCTGTTTGAAGCATCTGTATTTCAGTGGTATTTGCTACGTTGACCTTGCTGTGCGGCAATCACCACCGTCCATCAACAGGACCTTTCTGTCTTCCCAGACTGAAACTCTGCCCCCATTAAACATTAACTTCCACCTGACACCCTCAGCCTCTGGTTAGGACATTTTTGTAGGTGGAAGAGCAATAAAGCTGGAAACAAATACTATTTGGGGCAGGGGGGTTAAGATAGGGTCTCATTATGTAGCCCAGGCTGGCCTCAAACTCTCTGTGTAGCCCAGGCTGGCCTGAAACTCACAGCGATCCTGCCTCAGTCTCCCTCGAGCAGGGATCACAGGTGTGTGCCACCAGCCTGGGTTGGAAACGAATACTATTAAATGAAAACTCGTCACTGCTGGTGTCCCTGAGGGCAGCAGGGAACAGCTCTGTCTCCCCGACCCCTCTGCTTGCTCAGGAGCCCTGACAGGGAGGCAAGTGGTAGGGCCAGCCTGGCCTGGCTGGAATCCTTATTCCTGCTCCCTTAGGAGGCCACCCAATCCCAAAGCGCTGCTGCACTGTCACCCTGTCTGCATCGTAGAACATGCATCAATGTCTTCCTGCCGATTTGAGCCCCAGAGTAGAGGCTCCTTGAGGACAGGGACCCAGGGGTTCTGTCACTGCTGCCTCATGGGACACAGCATAGGACATGGCACCCACCAGAAAGGCAGTGCCCTGGGGGAAGGGGGATGGGTGCATGGGGAGAGGGCAGGGGAGAGTGATTGCACCAAGGTCATGGCGCAGAAGGGATGGGGGACTGAGGGTGCCATTCGGGGTCCAGAAGTTCAGGGCAGGAGCAGCCAAGGTGCAACAGGCACACATAAGATGGGTCCCAGAGGGCTCAGGTGCACCCTGGTGGGGAGGAATCAGCTTGGCTAAGGGATCCCTGGGCCCTGAGGAGAACATGGTGGAGGCCAGATGGGGCAGGGGCAGCGATGGCAGTGGCCAGGAAGCCACTGGATGGCTGAGGACCAGGCCTTCGGTGCCCATCTGCCCCTTGTGCCCTGGCTGAGCTGTGTGTGCCAGGCTCTGTCTCAGGCCCAGGCGCTGCCAAGCTCTGGGGAGATGGCACCAGATGACCTCACAGGGGTGAGCAAGTGGCTGTGGCTGCAGTGACTCATTCTGCCTGAGCACAGCGGGCAGCTTGCAGAGGTGCCCGGAGCCAGGTCTGGAGAATGCGTCGTGCCCAGCAGCTGCAGGGCAGGCAGGACTAGCAGGGACCTGTCCCAGGCCCACTTCCTTCTCTGCTTTAAGCCCCAGCCACTCTATGGTGCAAGCCCCTTGGTTGCCCATCTCTGGCTGCCAGGCATGGCCCTTTCCGGTTTGGCCTCTCGGGCACTCTCCCCAGCACGTGGGCTTCAAAAGCCCTCCAGCTGCCACACCAGCCCCCCCACCCCGTACCCCATTCCCAGCTCCCCACACACATACACAGCTTCTTCCGGTCTACCTGTTAGCTCCCACCTGCCACAGCAGTGGCTACTGTGCTTGGTGTTGACCCTTGCAGCAGCCCAAGGCCATGAAGACTGCAGTTCTTCATCGATGCCTTATTTATTTTTTTATTTGTTTTATTTTTGAGAAACAGGATCTCACTATGTACCCCAGGGTGGCCTTGAACTCACTATGTAGCCCAGGCTGACCTCAAAGTCACAGCAAGCCTCAGCCTCCCCAGTGCTGGGATTACAGGTGTGCACCACCACACCCAGCTCTCATTCATGTTTTATAGATGGGTAAACCAAGGCAGCAAAACCTCCCAGGCCCGCACAGCAGAGCTGGGCTTTGAGTCCGCCCGCAGCCTCCATACCTGCAGCTCCATGCTGAGCCTGTCTTGATGGCCTCGGGCGAGGAGCTTCCCACTGGGTCACAGAGAGATGGAGGGTCCTGCCTTCCTCTGGCATCATCGTTTTTCTTTCGATTTTTGCGTGCAAGTGAAAGCAAAAGCGCTTGATAGACCAGATCTGCCAACTCTCTGGGGAGGGCTGCAGAGTGGAGAAGGGTCTGAGAAGCAGTGCTTGGGGCTAAGACAGGAAGGGCTGAGGCTGAACTGGGGCGGGACTCCTACTGGAGTCCTTGCAGCCCCTCAGTACTTACGTTTCCTGGAGAGTGGCAGGATCCAACCAGTAATTCCTGTTGTTCCGGTGGATACCAGGACCATTCCTGGAAATGCTGCTTTCTGGCCTCAGGCCCCAGGGGGCTCTGGACACTGCTCAGGGCTGGAACACAGAGCCCCTCCCTGTGGCACTGAAGGTCCAGGTGCAGGCAGAGGCACCGAGAAGGCAGTGATAAGCGCTCTGGAGGAAAATAAAGCTAGGTAGAGGGAGAGGAAGTATAGGGAAGGAGCTGCTTCCTAAATAAGGGTGGACAGAGGATGAGGCCTCTGAGTGCAGATCTGAAGGAGGCAGGATGTTCTGCTGGGGAAGAGTACTCCAGGGCAGAGGGAGCAGCAAGAGCAAAGGCCCTGGGGTAGGCAGAGCCTCTTAGGTTGGAGGGTAACAAAGCAGTGGGTGTGGCTGGCACACAGGGCTGGGTGGAACAGCAGGAGAGGAGGTCCCAACAGGTGAGAGAGCTGCTGGAAAAGCTTTGGGTAGAAGAGAAACAGAATCTGTTCTGTAAAATTTTCCAAAATTGTGCTGGCTGCTGCATGGAGCCTAGACTGTCAGGTTTGAGGAGGATGGCGTCGCCTCCTTGCAGTTTGTCATGGAGCAATTCAGCCAGCATTGGTGGCACCCAAGACAGCCAGTAGGATGGAGGGTGTGCAAGGGGAAGGCGTTGTTGTTGGGGGGGGGGGGGTTCATGCTGAAGAGCTGCCTCAACCCGGCAGGCAGAACACAGGGGAGAGGGTTGGGGTTGGGGAGGAAAGCGGGAGTTTATTTCGGCCCCAGGCCACCTCTTGCAATACAGCAGCAAAGTCTGTCTCCCAGTGTGACAACAGGGGCCTTAAGCAGCCGAAACAAGGAAGATAAAAGTTGGCATCTACTAGAACAAGGCTAGCCTTGGCCCTGCCCTGAAATGTGTTCATGCATTTCCCTAACCAGTACTTACAAACCCCCTGTCAACTGTCAGGCAGGGTGCTGGGCCCTGCCAGCAGGGAAGAGAACAGATAAGAAATTTAAAAATTGCTGGGGCGTCACACCTGTGACCCCAGCATTCAGGAGGCTGAGAGAGGAAGGTCTCTGTGAGTCCCTGGCCAGCCTGGACCACACAGTGAGACCCCATCTCAAAAGGAAAAAAAAAGGAGGAGAGGGGCAGCTCTGCAGTCACGGCCCAGGCTCCAGACCGCAGCTCAGATCACTGGGGCCTTGAGGTCACCGCTGCCTCCCCTGTGCAAACGGGACACTGCCAGCTTGTGGGTGGGAGAGCCTTGTGCTGTGTGGATGCCTGCCTCTCTGGGGTCCAAGTCCCTGCCTGGCCAGGCCAGTGGAGGCCTGTCTAGGGTGATCATTTATTTCAGGAGTCTGCCCTGCCAGGCTGTGGTTGCTGAGGTGGCCCCTGGCCACCTGGGGTGGGGCTGGGAGGGTACAGGTCTGGTCTCAGCCCCATAGGGACCCATAGGTTCCATGCAAGTCCGGATCCTGCAGAGTGATTTGGAGTAGGCCAGCGAAATGGAAACAAAAGGAAATTAGCAGTCAGGTAGCAGCTGGCTGGCCAGCAGCTTCCTAAAGTGAGCACAGCCAGGCTGTTTTCACGGATGGAGAGGGAAAACACAGGCATGAGCCATCAGGCCAATGTCAGTGTGCTCTCCCTGCCTGCCCTGCCCAGGGCCCGAAGCAGGGAGGGTACAGCTGGTTGGGGCCGCCAGCATGCCTGAGGGCCATTGTGGGGTGTGGGCTGGGCCACTGTGGTGCTTGCACAGCTGTGAGCTCAAGCAGGCTGCACTGTTTTGGAAACTCTCCCCAGACAGAGGCTGCGCAAGACCTCACAGCCCGGAGGCAGCCTTCTCCTGCCCAGAGCCTTGTTCCTCCTGGCCTCGGGCCCTCTCCCCTTCCAAAGCAGTCAGACACCAGGCAGGGAAGCCCTGGCCCCCACCCTGGTGCCCCCAACCCAGCTGCTTCTGCAGGCTGTGAAGCTACTGCAGGCTGAGTTGGCGAGCAGGTGGCACAGGTGAGTCACCTCAGTAAGCCAGGTGTGTGGCAGGGATGGGTCCAAGCAGGGAGCAGGCCAGAGGCTCTGACCCTTGCCAAGACCACACTGCACCTGCTAGATCTAAGCAGCGGGTGCCTCTGTAAGCCTCTGGCTCTGCCCCTGTGCCCCCCACCCTCCCCACCTCAGGGCTGCATGGAGCTCTGAGGAGCGGGTCCTGGACCCTGCCTACTTCTGCCCAGCTACAGCTCAGAGTGCTCAGGGGCTCTGCCAGGCTGTCCGAGCCTGGTGCCTGGCTGTGGCCTTGAGGAGGGTCTGCTGCAGCCCTAGGGGGTGCAGGCAGACTGCATTCCATCCCAGAGACAGCAGACCTTGTCAAAAGGGTGGGCAGTTTCTTAAAAAAGTAAATGGGACCGGGCATGGTGGCACATGCCTGTAATGCCAGCACTCTGGGAGGCTGAGGCAGGAAGAATACAAGTTTGAGCCCAGCCTAAGCAACTTTGCAATTTAGCAAGACCCTGTCTCAATACATATATACATGCATACATAAAATAATAAAAATAGAAAGGGTTGGGCCAGGGATTTAGCTCAGTGGCGCACCACACCTGCCTCCCAACCACGAGGTCCTGAGTTCAATCCCTGGTGGGAGGGTGGGGGATAGGGCTGGGGATGTAGCTCAGTGATAAGAGAGTTTACTTAGCATGTACCAAGCCTTGGGTTTAATCCCTAGCACCACCAAAAGCCCCACCTAAATGGGAGGCGGAGTGGTGAGTAGATTAAGTGCTGCGTTCTCCAGATATGCTTGGGGATCTGGTAGGGACCCTCATCTGGACAGAGGGCCCGGGTGAAGACATTTAAAACAGTCAGGAAACTGACCCCAGGTGGGGGAGGGTAATGAGTTCTTGGTAATTTTGCTGCATGGGAAATGGCATTGTAGTCACAGCAGGGGCTCCTCTTTTTCTGTCCTGTGCTCCATAGACAGAGTGATCGGGGTTTGAGTCTCCCTGAAGTCCTGAGGCAGGGAAGGGTGTGCCAGATGGGGGGAGAGGCCAACCATGGGCACTGCCCTGGTGATGGACCACTGGAGCCAGACACAGTCTCTCCATGTCCTGGATTGAGAATGCCACAGTGATAAGTTCAGTGAGCAGAGAGGGACGCAGCAAGTGCAGGCTGTCAGAGGAGGAGCTCGGGTGGGCAGAGTCTGTTCATGACAGGGGCTTTGCTCTGCCTCTTGTCCTTCAGGAAATGGATTTAACCCTTAGGTCTTAGAAGATTTTTTCTTTTCTTTCTTTCCTTTTCTTTTTTCTTTTTCATGTTTTTTTGAGATGGGGTCTCACTATGTAGTTCAGGCTGGCCTCGAATTTGGAGCAGTCCTCCTGCCTCAGCCTCCCAAGTGCTGGTATTACAGGCATGCACCACCATGACTGGCTTCAGGTCTTTTTAGTTCATCTTGTTTTTGTTTTTGTTTGTTTGTTTTTTTGAATGAGGATCTCGCTGGTTTTGAACTCACTATGTAGCCCAGTTTGCCCTTGAACTCAAGGTGAGCCTCCTGCCTCAGCCTCCCAAGTGCTGGGATTACAGGAGTGTGCTACCACACCCAACTTTAGTTCACCTTGTTAAGGAGAATTTACCCTCTGCCAGGGCCTGTGTGTGTGTGTGTCCTTCTCTCGGGAAAGTGTGTGGCCCCTTCTACACCATCATCTCCTCAGGCTTTGAGGCCACGAAGCTCCCATGTGACAGGTGGCTGTGAGGCCTGGAAGCGGCCGGCACTCCGACTGCCATCAGCCAGGGGTGTCCCAAGACACCTGCACATGTGTACAGCTTTGGCCTCATGAGTAACAGCCTCTCTTCTCTCCCCAGCTGCCCTTGCTCAGCTGGCTCCTGGGCCTCATGAGACCTTCTGCTCTCAGGCAGCACCTGGGCTGTGAGCATCGGCCGCCCTGCCTTGAGCAGCAGCCCAAGGCCAGTGCAGAGCTGGACCAGAAGGTAAGCCCCTGCCAGCCCTGCCACCACTGCACACATCGGGGTGGGCAGGACAGTGTGCAGCGCAGCCCAAGGGCCTGTGGCCGCCAGTCCATCAGAGCCCAGTGGGGCTGTGTTGTGAGGAGCCATATCTACCCCAGCCTGTAATTAGCACTTTCCCAAGTAACACACAGCCACAGGTGAGGCTGGTGCACAGGTGTTCGGGCCGAGGAGCCACCTGGCTCACTCTTGTGCCCTTAGCATCCTCACCTGGCTTTGTTAGCTGAGGGGCTCCCAGCTGGTCTTACAGCACGGTTTTGGGTGGGAGCTGAAATGCTAGGATCAGGGAGGCTGAGAGCATGTTTAAGGGAGGTGCAGGGCCCAGTCGTGGTGGCACACGCCTGTGAGCCCAGCTCTCAGGAGGCTGGGGGAGGAGGATCCCTTGGAGTTCAAGGGCAGCCTGGGCTACACAGTGAGTTCAAGGCAGCCTGAACTACTTAGCAAGATCATGTCTCAAAAAATTGAAAAGAGGGCCAGGGATTTAGCTCAGTGGTTTCGCCGCCTGCTGTGCAAGCGCAAGGACCTGAGTTCAATCCCCGGTACCCCCCCACAAAAAAAAAAAACTGAAAAGAAAGAAAGAACATCTAGTTGTGAAAAGTGTCCTCTTTTTCCTTTTTGTGAGGGCATGTCTGGGCCCAACCTCCCTGTACACATCCAGTGACTGCTACAAGGCTCAGCTCTTGGCCTCCCCGCAGTTCTTCCTGATTGGCTTTCCAGACATTGCCCAGCTTTTTTGAAAGCTGAGCTTTGGCAGAAGTTGGGATGAGGAAGCCCAGGGCCAGGAATAGTGAGGTCTCTGGGATGAGTGACAGGGCAGGGTGGTAGGTACGGGGGGGGGGGGGGCTTCACAGCAAGAACCAAAGACCCAGCTCCTTATGGCACAGGGAGCAGATCTTCAGGGTCTTCCCTGTGCCTGGAGATGTGAATGGAGATAGGTATCTTCCTAAATTCCAATTCCCTGGGTTGGATTTGGTGATCTAGAAGTCCAGCCTTTGGGCACCACTCTGCAAATCAGATAAAGGAACTAACTACTTAATGAACACAAAGGAACTATTAAGACATGCGATCACCCTCAGGTGCATGGGCCCCTTCCTGAGTGCCAGGTCAGCAATCTTTCTGATGGGCTAATATTAGTGCATTTACGAGGCCATAGCCTCCTGGGAGAGTGTGAGTGTCTCTGCACCTCTTCTCCTGTGCCAAGTAGTTTTCCCGGGAAGCAGGGGCTGGTGGGGAGGCTGCCAGTGGAGGCAGGCCCAGCCCTGGGAGCCCTGGGGCTGGGGGCTGAGCTGGCAGATGAACTGTGAAATGCACCCGTTGGTCCGCTTCCATGTTGGAAATGACTGATTGGGTCTGGAAGCTGAGGGGCCACAGTGTCTTTGCAGAGCACCCAAAAATCAAAGCCTGTGCTACCTGGGGGCAGGAGGGGCTGAGGCAGCCGAGACCTCCCTTCTCACCAGGTGGGTGGAGCAAAGACAACAGGGTGGAGAGGATGCAACAGGGCTGGGGAGTTCTGTGCCCTGGGCTGCAGCCTGCACACTGCCTAGCTGGGCGTGCCAGGAGCAGGTGAGTGGGCCCACTCCGCCTTGGCCCGCTGACTCATTAGGCCTGAGCACGTTTCATCTTCAAAGACGCTGGGCTACTCAGCAGCCAAAGGAGCAGTGGCGTCACTGTCATGTTTTACAGGGAGTGGAGGTCTGGCTGGGGCTGAGCCTTTCATCCCCAGAGCTCAAAGTCTTTGCTTTTTTTTTTTTGCCCCTTGAGGACCCTGGGGAGACTGAGGCCAGAGTCAGCTCAGCCTGAGATGACCTAGCATGAAGAAAATGGCTATTTTCCCAGCCCTGGGGGCTGCCATGTGGAGCCGCCTGCCCATCCCCTGTCATCACTCCCTCCTGTCTGGGAGATTTCCTGCCCCAAACTGCAGGTCACAGGCCTCCTCCAGCCCTGCAAATAAACACTCCCTGGGTCTTCTGTCTGGGCTCAGTCTCTCCACCTCTCTCTCTGCCTCAGGTGCTGGCCTAGCCTCCTCCCTCCCTCTAGGAAGAGGTCCAAGGCACCCAGTGGCTTTGCCTGTATCCCTTATTGGACCACAAGCACAGCTGGACCATGGGCACAGCTGTGTCCCTCAGCTTTGTGTTCTGCTCTTGCCGATGGATGGATGGGTAGATGAATGGGTAAATGGATGAGTGAATTGTCCTCCCTCCTCTCTGCTTTCTGTACCCCATTCTGGCCATCTGTCTTCTTGCCCCCATTCTGGAAACCACCCTCCCTCTGCAGCTCCCTGGTCTCATAAGCCCCTTATGTCATTAAGCCCACAAGAGTGTTGGGCACAGGCTCCTGTGGAGCCCTGGACTTTGGAAGTTACCTGTGTGGCAAGGGAACCAATCACAGGGCATTGTTGGTAATTATAAGTTAGGAGGTGTCTGCCTGGGAAAGCTAACTACCCAGTCCTTGAACAAAAGAGGCAATGGGGCTGGCTCAGCTCCGTGTAGGGGCGGGAAGCAGGCAGCAGAGCTGCAGAGGAAGTGGGGGCAGGCGGGTTCCTGACCAGGCAGGGTCCTGTCCTGGCTGGGTCAGAGTCACCTAGCAAAGCACTGCAGAGCTTGTGTGGAAGATAAGAGCTTCCAGTAACTTCTGCTTCCCAGGAAGCTGATTAAAGCACTTGTAGCATTTTGAAGTGCTGAGCCAGCTGGTTGCATGCACTGGCATGCACTGGAGTCCCAGCTACCGGGAGGCTGAGGCTGGAGTTGGAGGCCAGCTCAAAAAGAGAGAAGGAAGAAAAGAAGGGAGGGAGGGCAAGCGGATGCCCTTGGTGGTTGATGATGGCCCTGGGCTTGCCTGGCTAGAGCTGGGGTCACACAGAGAGATGAACATCTGGGAAGGAGGAAGCTTAGCATCTGGTGCCACTCAGTGAGAGCCAGGTGGGAGGGGACTCTGCAGAGAGGAGCCTGGTGCACTGAGGCCTGCCATCCCCCCAGCTTCCCTTGGGCCTGGGCACCTTCTGCAAAAGACAGTGCCTTCCCCCCCTGTGTTTGACACTTTCCTCTTGGCCTCAGGCACACAACAGTTGCATAATTTGACTCCAGAAACTTATTTTTTTGGCAGTACTGGGCATTGAACCTGGAGCCTTGTACTGCACTATGCCCCAAGCCTTTTAATTAATTAATTTGTTTGTTTGTTTTGAGACAGAGTCTCTCTATGTACTCCAGGCTGACCTTGAACTCACTAGCCCAGGCCAGCCTTGAACTTGCAGTGATCCTTCTGCCTTGCCTCTTGATTAAATAGGATTACAAACACGTACCACTGTGCCTGGCTAACTTGAGTCATTTCACCTCCATGTCCCCTGGGCACCAGCTCAGCCCCTTCAGCCCAGAATGAATGTTTCCTAGGTGCCTCGCTTCCTTTTACCTGACAGTGTAAACTGTGTGTGGCTGTATTTGGTCCCATCCATCTCATATTGTGTTTCTGTTTGTCACACTTACCTGTTGGTTTTTGCTTTTTCCTGGTACCTGTGTGTGTGTACACATATACACGTATATTCTGTGCTTGTGCACGTATATACATGCACCAACATTTTGTATATACCTACTTTTTTGTGTGTGGTGCTGGGGGTCGAAGTCAGGGCTTTGAGCACGCTGAGCACACACTTCAGTGCTGAGGTACACCTCCACCCTGTGCTGTATTGGTGGGAATTTTTGTTCCCCATTTTGTTCCTTGATGATGTTCCCCATGGATGGCAGGTGGGCTCTATGGAGGGCTGTCCATCTGTGACCATCAGCCAAGCCCGGCCTAGACACAGGTAGTTTTAGGGCTCCCTCTGAGTACACCCCTTGTAAGGTCCTCGGTCTGTGCCTGAGGTCTAGAAATACCCATTTATGGGGCAGGGCGTTTGTGAGAGGTGATTTTATGGGGTGCTCACTCCTGAGCACAGGCGGCTCGCAGAATCTGTGGGGCCCATGAGCGTGAGCAGCTTTGTGGAGGGCACAGCCGCATGTGTTTGTGAATGCCTGCTGCGCATCTTCCAGTAAACCTTGTAGTGTGCACTGTGTGTTGAGAGTTGGCAAACAAGTTTTGCTGCTTTTCCTCAAGCTGACTGGACTGCAGGCTGCAGCTGTCTGTCCTGTGGCTGCCAGGTGACTCTGCCAAGAGCCGCCCTCACAGGAGGCTATGGCAGGGACAGGCAGCCGGTCCGAGGGTGCTCCCAACCTGGCAAGGGGATGTGTGTCTCCTCTCGAGTGGCCAGATCACCAGCCCCTCACCCTGTGTCTCCGGCAAGACAAGAGCAGCCTGGAGCTCCCTCGTCCCCCGGAAATGCCTGTCCTTTTCCTCCTGACCCTCACTTGGCACCATGGGGACAGCTCTGCCCCAACCAGGCTGGGGACCTGGGTCAGGTTGAGGTTAGGAGCCCTGGGAGGAAACTGCCTGGTTTGGGGAACAGAAAATAGACATTCAGGACCCCTGAGTTCCTGGCCAGGTGGTCTGTGGTCATTTCTGTCTTACTTCCTCCAAGATCTGAGTGTGGACATCTCAGACACAAACCTCAAAAGCAAACATCCAGCTCTACTGGGGCCCCGGAACCAGGCTTCTCTGCACATGTGAGAGGAGGGACGGGGTGATGGGGTTAATTGAAGGCAGGCTGGGGCCTTCGGTGGCTTTTGCTCAGGCGCCCAGGTCTCTGCCTCACTCCAGCCAGGCTCAGCCTACCAGGGCCCCCTTGAGGTCTCTCTGCCCAGATCACTCATCAGCTTCTTTTTATTGGGGGTGGGTTGAGATAAGGTCTTACTGTGTAGCCCAGGCTGGCCTTGGACTCACAGGGGTCCTCCTGCCTCAGCCTCCTGAATATTGGGATAGGGGCTACCTGCCTCCTGCCACTCTGGAGAAGCACAGTTGTCCTGCAACATGAAGGGCAAGAAGCAGCAAAATCTTGGGGAAACCAGGGAGGGAGGAAAGGAGAAAGTGTTGGCTTTGGAGGAAGCCACTGCTCTGAAACCCTGGGGTTCAGCTGCTCCCTCACGCAGCCCTGTGCCTGCCTGTGCACCTGCACTCAGAGTCCTCTGCTCTCTGGGCCCCTAAAGGAGCTGGATCTTCTGGTCCTGATCCCCTGGACTTGGGGTCTCTAGTCCTGCTGGCCCTCCTTGTCCCCACTGCCAGAGGAAGCCAGAGAGGGAGGGTGCCAGGTGGGCACACACGCAGACAAGAATGGGCCACATATGAGGGGACCTCCAGCAGCACCTAGGCAGGTGGGACTAAAGGGCTCTCTGTCCTGCTTTTGTCCCTGCCCCTCTCACTTTTCCACCACAGGCTCCCGGTTCCCACCCTGCTCTTGGTACCAAGAGCTGCTCAGGATCCACAGTATCAAGGTCAGGACAATTTAAAACAGAATTCCAAGATGAGTGTAGCGATGCATGTCTGTCATCTCAGCACTCTGGGCGGCTGAGGCAGGAGGATCACAAGTTTGAGCCCAGCCCAGCCCAGGCAATTTAGCAACTTAGTGAAACCTGTCTCAAAAAATAAAAAAGGCTGGAGAAGTGGCTCAGTGTGAAGGCCCTGGGTTCAGTCCTCAGTATCACCAAAAAAGAAAGAGAGAGAGGGAGAGAATCCTACTGGGAGAGGACTTGGGGTCTCGGACGGCTCTGGGCAGTGCAAGGCAGGTGAATTATGAGGAAGTTGGGGGTAGACACACCCTGGCCTCCTGAGGGCAGCCTGGGAAGAGTCCTCCCACCCCTGCACCCAGCTGGGGTCCTGGGAGCAGCTCAGCAGAGCTTATTCCCAGCAGATGACAGGCAATTCCTGTTCCTGTCCAGATGCTATCAGCCTGTCCCCTGTCACCCTCCAGGGGCCTCATCCCTGCTCCATGTTTAGGCCCCAGCTACTCTATGCCCCCGCCCCCCAAGCTGCTTTCCCTTAGAGAACTGTGTGTCCCACCTGGCAGGCCCTGCCTGTGATGTCTGCCCTCTGCTTTTAGGGAGCCCCGGCTGGGAAGAGGTGTCGCATCCTGTACCTTATTTCCTAGTTGCTAGTCATGTGTCCTCGTCATTTCCCTTCTTGCTAGGACACAAGACTGATGACCTGTCTGTGGCAGTCACATCCAGAGTCAGCTGTCCTTTGGGAACAGGACTTTGGATGCAGCCCTGCCTTGCTGCTCTGGTGCCTGCCAAGGCCAAGGTCAGAGAGTGAGACCTCGGAATAATGGGGGCCACTTGGGCAAGGGAAGTAGGTGGTGCCGTTTCCTCCTGGGAATGGGAAAGGAAGGGCAGCTCAGCAGTTGATGGTGCAAGTGCCTTGCTCTAGGACAGATGTGCCCAGGGCTGTGTGAGCTGTTTGAACTTGAGTTCTTGGGTCTCGCCAGCCAGATGAGTCTCTCTCCAGGTTGTGGCTCCTGGCCTGGGGCCTACACGTAGCCTGACCAGGGTTACTCATGCTAATGATCAGTGTTGCTGCTTGCCTGACCTAGACTTGCCTTGAGGCACAGGCTCAGCTCTGTCCTGCCCACATGCCCTGGCTTGGAAGTGCAGAGGTTTGCCCTATGGAGGGGACATCCATAGTGTCCGTTCCTGTGCACACACACATACACGGGTGCATGAACACACACATCCACATGTGCACAGGGAGCCCGGCTGGCTGGAGGGTGGCTGCCCACACAACTACTCCTGGACAGACCTCCCTGCCTGGACATGGAGTCCTGCTTGTTGGGGGCCTCTCCAAGCCTCAGCTGCCACTGCCGAGGAAAAGTGAGGGTCCCCAGCCTCTCTCTGCATGCTGAGCTAGGTCAGGATGCTCTGAAGCAGCACCATAGGTTTACAGTTAATAAGAGAGGAACGTAATGCTAGGCACGGTGATGTTCACCTGTAATCCCAGCTGCTAGGGAAGCTGAGGCAGGATGATCTCAAGCTGAGCAATTTGGCAAGATCCTGTCTCAAAATTAATTTTTTGTTTTGTTTTGTTTTTTGAGTCAGGGTCTCCTTATGTAGTCCAGGCTGGCCTTGAACTCATTATGTGGCCCAGGTTGGCCTCAGACTCTCAGCAATCCCTCAGCCTCAGCCTCCCAAGTGCTATGATAACAGGAGTGTGGGTCTCCCTCAGTTCTTCCCCCACCCCAGCACTGCCCTACAGCCTGGCTAGACCTGCTTCCACATGCAGGGCCCTCTTGTTCCTTGCAAGAGCTGCCATGCTGCCAGGTGAGGTCGTGCACACCTGTCATTCCAGTACTTGGGAGGCTGAGGCAGGAGGATTGCTTCGAGTTTGGGGCCAGCCTGGGCTACATAGACCCTGTCTCAGAAAACAGCAACAAAACCTGCCATGTGGCCTGCCTGGCAGTCTCCAGGGAGTGGAGGGCTGGGTGTGAAGGCTGCACCCCTGGTTGGATCTGAGGTGGGAGAAAGTACCCTGTACTCACCTGAGCCAGCAGCTTCCTGGGAGCCTCCTGCTATGCACTTCTGTGGTGTCAGTGACCCGGCCAGCTCCTTTGGCATTAGCTGTAGGGGATTTCCTGGAGGGTGCAGTTCCCGGGAAACACAGCCCCACACACCCCATTTTTCTTTCCGTCTCATGACAAAAGCCCTGCCGGGAGAGCAGATCCCAATTGACCTGGGAAACTCGGCTGGGCTTCCTGGAGTCGGAACTTACAGGCCGTGCCAGGCCTGTCCTCACTGTCCTCCCCTGGGGCCAGCTGCAAAGCTCTGGAGCCAGGAAGGGGCACTCAGAGCTGCTGAGGAGAGCCTGCCACCATCCCTGGGGAGAAACCAGGCCCTGATGGCCACCTTGTCCTGCCAGGTCCAGGCACATCCAGCTCCTCACCAGCTTCGCACCCGGCTCTCTGCATCATTGAGAGGTTTCCTGGTCCTGTTTCCTATCTTTCCCAGCCTGAGTCCCCAGCAGGTGGGAGGACCTGGAGGGGCTTCCCCTGGGCTGGCAGAAGGGCCATCTTGTTTCCCCAGCAGTAGGGGAAGTGGGCAGAATGGGCAGGTAGGCAGGGGGGAACCCACAGTGTCACTCATACCAGCCATGTCCTGTCTGCCCCTTCTTGCTTCTTGAAAGGGAAGATGGCTGAGTGTGGTGGAGCATGCCTGTGATCCCAGCACTTGGGAGGCTGAGGCAAGAGGATCACTGAGAGTTCCAGGCCAGCCTAGGCTATGTAGTGAGTTTAATGAATTCAAGACCAGCCTGAACTACATAGTGAGATCCTATCTCAAAACTAAAAAAAATAAAAAAGAGGGCAGGGGATTTAGCTCAGTGTTGCCATGCCTGTCTGGAAAGCACAAGGTCGAGTTCCATCCTGGTACAAAAAATAAAGAAATAAAATTAAAATTAAAATTAAAAAGAAGAAGAAAAATGCCAGGTATGGTGGTGCATCCCTGTAACCTGCACTTAGGAGGCTGAGGCAGGAGGATTGCTCTAGTGCGAGGCCACCCTGAGCTAATAGCATGACTATGTCTCAAAAAAAAAAAAAAGAGGAAAGAAGAAAAAAAAGAAAGGGAAGATG